AGATATCACAGAGGAAGCAGCTAAAGTTGGACAGTTTTTTTGCGATAATAATCTTGTCTGCCTGAAAGATTAAAATTTTTGTTGATAAGAACTAAACCTATTATCAATGTATGTTGTTGTTTGTGTTATCATATGCAATTGAATAAGTAGACCATTTCAGAATTTGAAATTTGGGACCCTCTAAATGTATAATGGGACTCATACTTTTCTGATCAGCGAGTCCCGCAGGACTCGCTGGGCTCAAACTGTAAAATGATCACTGAGCTGATACCATCAGACCAGAAAAAGCTACAAACAAGCTGAGGGAAAGAAGAGAACCTTCTCTTCCTCGCTGAAGGTTTGATTTCCAAATGCTCAAACTTCTGGCGAGATGTGTTGATGTTCGGGAGCGTACCGCTTTGGTGAACAGATGGCATGTCAGGCTTGGTGATTTCTGTCTTTTATGTCCTGGGAGACTGTGATTCCCAGGAACTTGAAGGTCTCGACGGTTGACACAGGGCAGTTGGATAGTGTGAGGGGCAGCTGTGGTGAAGGATGTTTCCTGAAGTCCACGATCATCTCTACAGTCTTGAGCGTGTTCAGCCCGAGGTTGTGTCAGCTGCACCAGAGCTCCAGCTGCTCCACTTGTTGTCGGTACGCAGACTCGTCGCCATCTTTGATGAGACCGATGACCGCGGTGTCGTCTGCGAACTTTATGAGTTTGACAGCTGGACTTGTTGAGGTGCAATCGTTTGTGTAGAGGAAGAAGAGCAGTGGAGAGAGGACACATCCCTGTGGGGCTCCAGTGCTAGTGGTGCGTGTTGATGATGTTGTTGCTCCCAGTCTCACCTGTTGTGTCCGTCCCGTCAGGAAGCTGAGGATCCACTGGCAGATCGTAGGGGACACACCGAGGTGGAGAAGTTTGGGGGTGAGGAGTTCCAGGATGATGGTGTTGAACGCAGAGCTGAAATCCATAAACAGGATCCTTGCGTAGGTCCCTGTGCTGTCGAGGTGCTGAGTTCTGTCAGTCATTGTGAGTGTGAGTATTGTATACGTGTGCTCCTGTTTTGTTTCCTGTCTTAGTTTTGTTTGTTACTTTGGTCCCTCGTGATTTCCAGGCATTTTTTTTTTTTTAGTACTTCGACTGAGTGTTTTTCCATTGTACTCCTGTGTGTATTTTTTGTTAAATACATTTTGGTCAATCCACCCTGCCCCTCCCTGCTTTTTGGGGTCCTACTCCACCACCATGCAAAACGTGACACAAAGTCAATGCAGCTCTGCTTACTTGTGCAGTTTTGGGAGGGGGTTTCTCATGGGCCTCACTGTTACGTGGAGCCGAAGTATAGAACAGTTCACTCAGACACATTTTCAGATGTAGGCAGCTAACTAAAGATTGAGTTGGTTGTTTCATTTCACACTTGATGGTTGAGCAGGGGCTCCAAAGATCCACCAATTTCTATGCAAACAGTAAAAAGTACTTTCTCTCATGTCTCCTTGAACATAAATCGGCATAATAATGTTCAAAGTCTTAAAAAAATAAAATACCTGCCTAATGTTCGATGTAATTAGGTAATAATGCAAAAACTTGCAATTACTTTGAAAATCCATATAAACGGCTTCTTATGATAGCACTTGTTGTCTACAGCAGGGGCCCCCAACCTTTTTTGCCCCACGGACCGGTTTATGTCAGACAATATTTTCAGGGACCGGCATTTAAGGTGTGGCGGAATTAATACAACAAAATAATATGGTATGAGCTGCATGAAAACTGTGGCGTTTTCGAAATATAATAATAAACACAAGGAGCGTCTAATCTGGCCGCACCGCTATGGCAATGTTTAATGCCTTCAAAATACGATACAACGCAAATTCAAAGTGCATGAAAATGACGACTCACCACAGCCCCGAGCTTGATTTTCTGCAACCAGACGGTCCCATCTCGGGGTAATAGGAGA